ATTGCAGAAGATGTTTATTTTGGGCCAGAGCAATAAGCGACAGCAGGGTGCTCACTGCACAAAAAGAAAGTTAAAAGCATCACAAGCCATCCCCTCCCAATGCCAGAGATACAACTTAATGGTGTAACATTAGAAAATGTTGACCATTTCCGCTACCTTGGCAGCCACCTCTCCACCAAAATCAACATCGACACCGAAATACAACACCGCCTGAGCTCTGCGAGTGCAGCATTTTCCCGAATGAAGCAGAGAGTGTTTGAGGACCGGGACATCCGTAAGGATACCAAGGTGCTTGTCTATAAAGCTATTGTCCTCCCAACCCTGCTATATGCCTGCGAAACGTGGACTGTCTACAGACGTCACATGCAACTCCTGGAACGATTCCATCAGCGCTGCCTCTGAAAAATCCTGCAAATCTCTTGGGAAGACAAGCGGACAAACGTCAGCGTGCTGGAAGAAGCAAAGACCACCAGCATTGAAGTGATGGTCCTCTGCCATCAACTCCGCTGGACCGGCCATGTTGTCCGGATGCCTGACCACCGTCTCCCAAAGCAGTTGCTCTACTCCGAACTCAAGAACGGAAAACGGAATGTTGGTGGACAGGAAAAGAGATTTAAAGATGGGCTCAAAGCCAACCTTAAAAACTCTGGCATAGACACTGAGAACTGGGAAGCCCTGGCCCTTGAGCGCTCCAGCTGGAGGTCAGCTGTGACCAGCAGTGCTGCAGAATTGAGGAGGCACGAGTGGAGGGTGAAAGAGAGAAATGTGCCAGGAGGAAGGCCGTCAAGCCAACCCCGACTGGGACCGCCTTCCACCTGGAAACCAGGCCTTCTCTGTGGGAGAAGATGTGGGTCAAGAATAGGGCTCCACAGACACCTACAAACCCAGAAAAATAGTCATAAAGGAAGACCATCTTACTCGTCCAACGAGGGATCGCCTAAGTAAGTAAAGTCTCCTTGGTGTTCAAAGATTATTTATTTCATTGGTCTAAGATTACTAATATAGATTTTCATTGCCTCTCTATGACTTTGGCAATAGCTAACAATGGCATGATTATGGTCTCTGACCCTGAGCACTTAATTGGGAAGTGTCTTATCTGCCTTTCTCTTTCAAGCACAGACTTCAGGTGGCCGAGAGGAATTAGGGAGTGTTAGCGAGCCAGTTCTGCTCCAGTGATTTCATCCTTGAGAATAATCCACCTCCCTGTGGCAGTTCTCTCTCCAAGCATCAACAGTTTTGCAAACAAAGGACTTTTGCAAATCAGGACATATGGGACTTAGAATTCTTTGGGAGCCATTGCTGTCCAAGATTGTGTGTTGTGAGGCACAATTTGGAAAGCTCTGCTCTAGAACAACAGAATAGAATTGTAGCGCTGGAAGATATACCCCAACAGTCATCTAGACCAACCCCGTTCTGCCATGTAGGAAGACACAAGGAGGATGTCAATGTCAAGAGCTCTTTCTATTAGATAGTCTCAGATTTATAGATTTCTCTACAAGTATGATGAAAAAAAAAATATCTGTGAATGGAGACACCATCAAAGCCCTCCCAACAGGTCCGTCCAATCCAGTCGCATTTAGTTGTGTATGGAAACTGTCAAAGCTTGGATTGGATAGCCATCTCTTCGGAAGGCTTTGATGGTGCCTTCATTAAATGCAGTTGGACTGGATGGCCATCTGTTGGGAGGGCTTTGATGTTATCTCCATACTTAATTAAATGTGGTTGGACTGGATGGCCATCTATTGGGAGGGTTTTGATGGTATCTCCATACATAATGAAATGTGGCTGAAGTGGATAGCCATCTGTTGGGAGGGCTTTGATGGTGTCTCCATGCACAACTAAATGTGGTTGGACTGGATGGCCATCTGTTGATACATAATTAAATCATAGAATAGAATCATAGAATCATAGAATCAAAGAATTGGAAGAGACCTCATGGGCCATCCAGTCCAACCCCCTGCCAAGAAGCAGGGATATTGCATTCAAATCACCCCTGACAGATGGCCATCCAGCCTCTGTTTAAAAGCTTCCAAAGAAGGAGCCTCCACCACACTCCGGGGCAGAGAGTTCCACTGCTGAATGGCTCTCAGAGTCAGGAAGTTCTTCCTCATGTTCAGATGGAATGTGGCTGAAGTGGATGGCCATCTTTGGGAGGGCTTTGATGGTGTCTCCATACTTAATTAAACGTGGCTGGACTGGATGACCATCTGTTGGGAGGGCTTTGATGTTATCTCCATACATAATTACCGTAAATGTGGTTGGACTGGATGCCCATCTGTTGGGAGGGTTTTGATGGTATCTCCATACATAATTAAATGCGGTTGGACAGGATGGCCATCTGTCGAGAGGGCTTTGATGGTGTCTCCATGCACAACTAAATACAGTTGGACTGGAGGGCCATCTGTTGGGAGGGCTTTGATGGTAACTTCCCACATAATTATATGTGGCTGAAGTGGATGGCCATCTTTGGGAGGGCTGTGATGGTATCTCCATACGTAATTGTGCCTGAAGTGGATGGCCATCTGTTGGGAGGGCTTTGATGTTATCTCCATGCACAACTAAATGCGGTTGGACTGGATGACCATCTGTTGGGCCTTTGATGTTATCTCCATACATAATTAAATGTGGCTGAAGTGGATGACCATCTGTTGGGAGGGCTTTGATGGTATCTCCATACTTAATTAAATGTGGTTGGATTGGATGGCCATCTGTCGGGAGGGCTTTGATGGTATCTCCATACTTAATTAAATGTGGTTGGATTGGATGGCCATCTGTCGGGAGGGCTTTGATGGTATCTCCATACATAATTAAATGTGGTTGGACTGGATGGCCATCTGTTGGGAGGGCTTTGATGGTATCTCCATACATAATTAAATGTGGTTGGACTGGATGGCCATCTGTTGGGAGGGCTTTGATGGTATCTCCATACATAATTAAATGTGGTTGGACTGGATGGCCATCTATTGGGAGGGCTTTGATGGTATCTCCATACATAATTAAATGTGGCTGAAGTGGATGGCCATCTATTGGGAGGGCTTTGATGGTATCTCCATACATAATCAAATGTGGCTGAAGTGGATAGCCATCTGTTGGGAGGGCTTTGATGGTATCTCTATACATAATTAAATGCGGTTGGACAGGATGGCCATCTGTCGAGAGGGCTTTGATGGTGTCTCCATGCACAATACAGTTGGACTGGAGGGCCATCTGTTGGGAGGGCTTTGATGGTATCTCCATACATAATTAAATGTGGCTGAAGTGGATGGCCATCTTTGGGAGGGCTGTGATGGTATCTCCATACGTAATTGTGCCTGAAGTGGATGGCCATCTGTTGGGAGGGCTTTGATGTTATCTCCATGCACAACTAAATGCGGTTGGACTGGATGGCCATCTGTTGATACATAATTAAATGTGGCTGAAGTGGATGGCCATCTGTTGGGAGGGCTTTGATGGTATATTATCCATACATAATTAAATGTGGTTGGACTGGATGGCCATCTGTTGGGAGGGCTTTGATGGTGTCTCCATACTTAATTAAATGTAGTTGAAGTTGATGGCCACTTGTCGGGAGGGCTTTGATGGTATCTCCATACATAATTAAATGCAGTTGGACTGGATGGCCATCTGTTGGGAGGGCTTTGATGTTATCTCCATACTTAATTAAATGTGGTTGGACTGGATGGCCATCTATTGGGAGGGCTTTGATGGTATCTCCATACATAATTAAATGTGGCTGAAGTGGATGGCCATCTATTGGGAGGGCTTTGATGGTATCTCCATACATAATCAAATGTGGCTGAAGTGGATAGCCATCTGTTGGGAGGGCTTTGATGGTATCTCTATACATAATTAAATGCGGTTGGACAGGATGGCCATCTGTTGAGAGGGCTTTGATGGTGTCTCCATGCACAACTAAATACAGTTGGACTGGAGGGCCATCTGTTGGGAGGGCTTTGATGGTATCTCCATACATAATTAAATGTGGCTGAAGTGGATGGCCATCTTTGGGAGGGCTGTGATGGTATCTCCATACGTAATTGTGCCTGAAGTGGATGGCCATCTGTTGGGAGGGCTTTGATGTTATCTCCATGCACAACTAAATGCGGTTGGACTGGATGGCCATCTGTTGATACATAATTAAATGTGGTTGGACTGGATGGCCATCTGTTGGGAGGGCTTTGATGGTGTCTCCATACTTAATTAAATGTAGTTGAAGTTGATGGCCACTTGTCGGGAGGGCCTTGATGGTATCTCCATAGATAATTAAATGCGGTTGGACTGGATGGCCATCTGTTGGGAGGGCTTTGATGTTATCTCTATACTTAATTAAATGTGGTTGGACTGGATGGCCATCTGTTGGGAGGGCTTTAATGGTATATGCATACATAATTAAATGTGGCTGAAGTGGATGGCCATCTGTCGGGAGGGCTTTGATGGTATCTCCATACTTAATTAAATGTGGTTGGACTGGATGGCCATCTGTTGGGAGGGCTTTAATGGTATATGCATACATAATTAAATGTGGCTGAAGTGGATGGCCATCTGTTGGGAGGGCTTTGATGTTATCTCCATACTTAATTAAATGTGGTTGGACTGGATGGCCATCTGTTGGGAGGGCTTTAATGGTATATGCATACATAATTAAATGTGGCTGAAGTGGATGGCCATCTGTCGGGAGGGCTTTGATGGTATCTCCATACTTAATTAAATGTGGTTGGACTGGATGGCCATCTGTTGGGAGATGGGGCTGGAAAGTTTGTGTGTGTGTGTGTGTGTCTGTTATACACATGTCCGTATTGATGTTTGTACGTCAAACACATGCGCCACCTGCTGGCAGGATTGTGTACTTCTCCCTTTCCTCTCCTGCCTTGCTTCTGCATCGCAAAGCCTGGCAAACCAGGCTTCGTAATGGCGCCGGAAGCTTCACTTCTCTCACTGCGCATGCCCAGTTCCTAGAGCGCCTTCTGTTGGAGCCGGAAGTTCCGGTCTTTGGACTCTGCTTCCTGTCTCTCCTCAGGGCGGCCAGGATGGAGGCTGTGGAGGAGTTGGATATCGATGTGGAAGGGGATGTGGCGGCCGCAGCGCAAATGGGGTAAGCGGGGCAGGCTTCAGGCCTTCAGCTAGGCCTCATCATCTGAGGGGGAAAAGGAAAGGGCCCGAGGGTGTTAGGAATTGTGGGAGTTGTAGTCCAAAACACCTGGAGGGCCCAAATTGACCCTTGCCTGATCTATATCCATGCATTTCCTTTATTTTTCTGCTAAAGTTAATGATAATGATAGCAACATTCCAGTTTCTGAATCCAGATTGTCCAGAGGAGCGCGTCTAAAATAATCAAGGGTCTGGAGAACAAGCCCTATGAGGAGCGGGTTAAAGAGCTGGGCATGTTTAGCCTGAAGAAGAGAAGCCTGAGAGGAGACATGATAGCCATGTATAAAAATGTGAGAGGAAGTCATAGGAAGGAGGGCGCAAGCTTGTTTTCTGCTGCCCTGGAGAGTAGGACAATCACTAGAATCAAAGAGTTGGAAGAGACCTCATGGGCCATCCAGTCCAACCCCCTGCCAAGAAGCAGGAATATTGCATCCAAATCACCCCTGACAGATGGCCATCCAGCCTCTGTTTCAAAGCTTCCAAAGAAGGAGCCTCCACCACACTCCGGGGCAGAGAGTTCCACTGCTGAACGGCTCTCACAGTCAGGAAGTTCTTCCTCATGTTCAGATGGAATCTCCTCTCTTGTAGTTTGAAGCCATTGTTCCATTGCGTCCTAGTCTCCAGGGAAGCAGAAAACAAGCTTGCTCCCTCCTCCCTGTGGCTTCCTCTCACATATTTATACATGGCTCTCATATCTCCTCTCAGCCTTCTCTTCTTCAGGCTAAACATGCCCAGCTCCTTAAGCCGCTCCTCATAGGGCTTGTTCTCCAGACCCTTGATCATTTTAGTCGCCCTCCTCTGGACACATTCCAGCTTGTTAATATCTCTCTTGAATTGTGGTGCCCAGAATTGGACACAATATTCCAGGTGTGGTCTAACCAAAGCAGAATAGAGGGGTAGCATGACTTCCCTAGATCTAGACACTATGCTCCTATTGATACAGGCCAAAATCCCATTGGCTTTTTTTGCCGCCACATCACATTGTTGGCTCATGTTTAACTTGTTGTCCACGAGGACTCCAAGATCTTTTTCACACGTACTGCTCTCGAGCCAGGCATTGTCCCCCATTCTGTAGCTTTGCATTTTCGTTTTTCCTGCCAAAGTGGAGAATCTTGCATTTGTCACTGTTGAACTTCATTTTGTTAGTTTTGGCCCATCATCTCTCTAATCTGTCAAGATCGTTTTGAATCCTGCTCCTGTCCTCTGGAGTATTGGCTATCCCTCCAATTTGGTGTCGTCTGCAAACTTGATAATCATGCCTTCTAGCCCTTCATCTAAGTCATTAATAAAGGCTTACCATATTTGTATACAGCCTGGAGGCGACTCAAAGCAGTTCACATTCGGCAACAATTCGATGCCACAACAATTAAAAACAATTAAAACAGTCATAGCTTGTTTTCTGCTTCCCTGGAGACTAGGACGCGGAACAATGGCTTCAAACTAAAAAGGAGATTCCATCTGAACATGAGGAAGAACTTCCTGACTGTGAGAGCCGTTCAGCAGTGGAACTCTCTGCCCCGGAGTGTGGTGGAGGCTCCTTCTGTGGAAGCTTTTAAACAGAGGCTGGATGGCCATCTGTCAGGGGTGATTTGAATGCAATATTCCTGCTTCTTGGCAATGGGGTTGGACTGGATGGCCCATGAGGTCTCTTCCAACTCTTTGATTCTATGATTCTAAATCTTATTAAAATGTTTAGCATATAGTATAAAAACAGTACAAAGCCAAAAAATATTATCATAAGCATTTATTTTGATTTAGTTTGAATATTTGTACCCCGCCGTTCTCAACCCCTGGGTGGGACTCAAGGCGGCTTCCAATCAGCAGCAATTCGATGCCTCAATATATACATAATAAAACAAACAGTCAATAATTATAAATAGTTAAAAACATCTCCTTACCAAAGTCATTATCCAATTGCATCGTCAAGTTGTTCAATGATTTCATATTTACTAGATTATGCTACATTAGCAAAAGGTTGCTCAAAAAAACCAGGTTTTAACCTTTTTCTGGAAAGTTAGAAGGGAGGGGGCCACTCTTACAACCCTAGGGAGGGTGTTCCACAGCCGAGGGGCCACCACTGAGAAGGCCCTGTCTCTTGTTCCTGCCAACCGAACCTGTGAAGAAGGCAGGACAGAGAGCAGGGCCTCCCCAGAAGATCTTAGATTCCTAGATGGTTCATAAGGAGAGATACATTCAGACAGATAAGCTGGGCCAGATGTCCTCAAACTAAGGCCGCGGGCCGGATACAGCCCTCCAAGGTCATTTACCGGCCCTTGCTCAGGGTCAACCTAAGTCTGAAATGACTTGAAAGACACAACAACAACAACCAATCCTATCTCATCAGCCAAAATCAGGCCCACACTTCCCATTGAAATACTAATAAGTTTATATTTGTTAAAATTGTTCTTCATTTTAATTATTGTATTGTTGTTAAGTGTTTTTTGCACTACAAATAAGATATGTGCATAGGAATTCATTCACGTTCTTTCCAAATTATAATCCGGCCCTCCAACAGTTTGAGGGACTGTGACCTGGCCCCTTTGTTTAAAAAGTTTGAGGACCCCTGGTTTAGGGCTTTAGGAAGAACTTCCTGACCGTACGAGCTGTTCAACAGTGGAACTCTCTGTCTCGGAGTGAAATGGAAGCTCCTCCCTTGGAAACTTTTAAACAGAGGCTGGGTGACTATCTGTCAGAGCTGCTTTGATTGTGCTTTTTCTGCATGGAAGAAGGGGGTTGGACTAGATGGCCCATGTGGTCTCTTTCCGCTCTATTATTCTATGATTCTACAAACGGCTAGCTCCCACCTTATCAGCTTTTAGGAAAAGCTTGAAAACCTGGCTGTTTTGCCTTGGGGAACAGTCATGGCATGGGGAACAATAATCCCCATGCCATGACTGTCCCAGTATATACTTGTCCCCTTGATACACCCCACCTTATTCCTAGCTAGAAATTAAAATCCATAGCTTGTCCCTCCTGTAGCTCCCACTAGTTAAATTACTTAGGTTATCCTATCTTGTCCTATGCCCCTTGTTTTTATCCTCACACTTTGGCCCAGCTCACTCTGATTAACTCCTTATCCTTAATCTTATTTTTACGTTATGCTTGGTGTTATATCCCATTATGTTAATCTCCTTTTATTGTTTGTATGTTTTTGTTTTATGGTTGTACTTTATTTTAATGTTGATTTTAATTTTAATTATTATTTGCTGTATGTATCTTATTTGTTTACTGTGTTTGTTGGGCTTTGCCTCATGTTAGCTGCCCCACGAGGAGGAGATAATAATATAATAATAATAATAATAATAATAATAATAATACTTTATTTATACCCCACCACCATCTCCCCAAGGGACTCGGAGCGGCTTACATGAGGCCAAGCCCAACAACACATCAATAACATAAGAAATCAATAAACAAAAACAATACATTTAGTATAAATCACATATACACAATAACACACAAAGATTTAAAAACCCATGGCTGGGCCAAATATAGTAGTTTAAAATTAAAATTAAACGCTGGGCATGAACAAGATAGGATATATCTGGTAGGAGGGTTTTAAAAGAAGTGAGGGGAGCACAATCCAATGAATGAAGTGCATTCTGAGGACATTTTGCTGGGAACTATTTCTTTATTCCGGGAAGGCACACTGGAACACCCATGTTTTCAGGCTCCTCCTAAATGCCAATGTTGGGGCATTCCTGATATCCCTGGGAAGTGAGTTCCAGAGTCAGGGGGCCACCACCGAGAAGGCGCTCTCCCTCGTCCCCACCAACCACACCTGCGAGGGAAGTGGGGACCGAGATCAGGGCCTCTCCAGATGATCGAAGAGATTGTGTGGTGGGGTATAAATAAAGTATAATAATAATAATAATAATAATAATAATAATAATAATGGGGAAAAGGTGTCTCCATTGAAGCGTTATCCCTAATTCGTGTTTCCACAACAAAGCAAATTTTTCAAAATCCAATTATCACTGGGACAGAAAGTGTGATGAAATCTTCTGAACAGGGGCAAAGACAGAAAACAAGCACCACAGGGGTGTTAATCCTTCCCTTGCTATCAAAAGCGCTTGTGTGTGTGTGTGTATAATGTGGCTGGAGTTAGACTTAAAAATGTACCTGTTCTGACTTCCAATAAATTCAACTTATTCATAACTTGGGGACTGCCTATACTTGTAAATGCTGTATTAATACTATGTTACTTTCACTATGTCTCAAAAGCATTAATACAATTCTTGCTTCTAAGAGGATAGTTCCTTTAAATATTCAGATAGGTAATACATTGCTTTTTTCCAGAAACTATGACGATCCATCATCCAGCGTGCTGCAAGATCATTACCTGGATTCAACATGGAGAACAGACATGGGACTTGTAAGTTTGAATGGGAAATAAGCTGCTACTCATTCTGTGTCAAACATACTATATAAGGAAAATTGACCCATTCCTGCAGGGATGGTTTGAATAATTGTTGAATAATGGTTGAATAATGGTTATATATTTTTGTCTTAGCCATGGAGTCTTGATAACACAATTAGTGAAGAAAACAAGGCCGCCATTGAGAAGATGTTGTTGGAAGAAGAGTATCCTTTTGCCATTCATTTTGATCAAAGAAAGAAATGGTATTCTGATGCAGGTTTCAAATTAATGTGCTACCATTATTACGGTTTAAAATAATTTTCTGAGAATGCAGTTTGAACTGTCACCACCATGACAGTACATCAAATGCCAAAGGCCTTATGCTTGTTTAACAAAGATAGTTGTGCTTTTTCTGTCCCTGAATCAAGTCCCTATTAATAAACATATCTTACATTAATCAAGTCCTAAATATCCATGTGAGTATGTCATATTGAACTAAACATATTTTTAATATATGTTTTTATTGCTGACACAGGTAGGATAATATCACAATCCATCACCATTTCCAAATACATATCAAATATTGTTTTCATAGTGTTCTTATCCTTACCTATTCCACCTTTATCTCCCACTTGTGTCTATCGATTTTACACCCCCTCCGCCACCCTCTGGGAACAGTACTTGTCTTCATTCAAGTATTATTTTAATTGAACAATCATGGAAAGAGAATAGTTTTGCTTTTTATATCCTTCGACTTTATCTATCAATCTTCCCCATTTCTGAACCCAGGTCTTCTTGATTCGGCATGATGTATATTTGGCTCTTCTTTCAGAGATGTAGTCCTGAAGCATAAAGTCTGCTAGGTAACCGTACCATTTCTTATCTTCCCACTTTTTGTGGTCTTTCCACCCCAAGGCCGCAGTTGCTTGGGCAGAAACTATCATGTATTTTATAATTTTCCCCCAAGCTTTGATGTTTTCGTTCTTGTCTAATTTCTGGGTGAAAAATACTTTTTTAAATTCAAAATCAATTTATGCCCTATTAATTCTTTCATTTTCTTTTTACTTTATTATAAAAATTTTGTACTCTGCTGCATTCCCACCACATATGTATATAGGTACCAATTTTCCACATCTGTGCCAACACAATTTTGTGGTTGTTTTAGTTATATGTGCTAATTTAATTGGGGTTCTGTACCATTTAGTCAGTATTTCCCTTTGTGTTTCTCTAATACTTATATACTTGATATTTTTTATTGTATTGATCCAGTGTTTAATATCTGAATAATTGTTATTTAGACCCTCTTTTCATATTTCTATCAATGCTTGTTTCAAATTATATTGAATTCCAACTAATTTCTTGTATATGAACCCCATCAGGCCTTTCTCCTTTTCTAATTTCTAATTTAACTTTAAAATTTGATCAAAATCTGTTTCTGGGCCTTCCTTTTTCCTCCACATCACGGTCCTTTGTTTCAATCCGTTCCAAAGGAACCAGATACACTGACCACATTTGTACTTTAATGTCTCCCAATCCTTAGTTGTCTCATCTGGGTTTAGGAGATATTTTATCAGTTTCATTCCATTTTGTTTCAAATTTATTATCTGGATTTTGATTCCTCCCTGCTACCCATGGGAGGAATGGAAAAGAAAAAGTTACTTCTTGCCATTTTCCAGACAGATTGTTCAGGGCCGGTGTCTTCCCTACCCCCTCCACGCCTTACTTATTTTAGAACAATGCCATGTATCTCTTATCTCAGGCTCAAGGGCACTGTCCTCCCAGTATTATAACTCCCAATGGCTCAAATACAGTCACCTCCCCTTCCATACTTATAAGGTGAATACAAAGCTTAGACATGTGAAATGAACAAGTAATACCAACATATAGCCCATGTGCCTGGTACAACTTGCTATAAAATGCTAAACCAAGAGGCACAAACAATACTGTGAATACAGACCCAACCACCCCCCTAATTGTGAATCCTTATAATTATTCACATTCTTCACTTTAAAGACCCGTTACAGGGTGGCATAGAACTAAATAGATCTTACTATATAGAAGGGATTTGTAGGATTGCTATGCCAGGAAGTTTTTTGTATCTCTATGTAGAGTTTTATTTTCCCCTTGAGACTCAATAATAGAATACAGGCAGTCCCCAAGTTATGAACAAGATATGTTCTGTAGGTTTGTTCTTAAGTTGAATTTGTTTGTAAGTTGGAACAGGAACATTTTAAAGTGTAACTTCAGATATCTATCTAAATAAATAAATAAATAAATAAAAATGTAATGTTAGTTTGTGGGATTAACATAACTCAAAAACCACTGGGGCGAATTGACACCAAATTTGGACACAAGATACCTATCAGGCCAATAAGTGACCCATAAAAACACTGGAAAACAGCAGAAGAGACATTAAAAGTCAAAATATTAAAATAAATTACAATGCATGTGTAAAACCACATATACACAAATATACACACACACATATACACATATATACACATACAAAACATAGATACACAGACTGGGCCACAGCAACGTGTGGCAGGGGACGGCTAGTCTATATATATAAATGTAATGTTTGTGGGATTAACATAACTCAAAAACCACTGGACGAATTGCCACCAAATTTGGCCACAAGACACCTACTAACCCAAGGAGTGACCATCACTCAAAGAAATTGATTTTGTCATTTGGGAGTTGTAGTTGCTGGGATTTATAGTTCACCTACAATCAAAGAGCATTCTGAACTCCACCAATGATGGAATTGAAGCAAACATGGCACATAGGACTCCAACAACCAACAGAAAATTCTGAAAAGGTTTGGTGGGCATAGACCTTGAGCTTGGGAGTTGTAGTGCTCTCTGCATCCAGAGAGCACTGTGGACTCAAACAATAAAGGATCTAGACCAAACTTGGCACGAATACTCAATATGCCCAAATGTGAACACTGCTGGAGTTTGGGGAAAATAGACCTTGACATTTGGGAGTTGTAGTTGCTGGGATTTATAGTTCATACAATCAAAGAGCATTCTGAACCCCACCAATGATAGAATTGGGCCAAACTTCCCACACAGAACCCCCATGACCAACAGAAAATACTGTGTTTTCTGATGGTCTTTGGCAACCCTTCTGACACCCCCTTGTGACCCCCCAGGTTTCCCGACCCCCAGGTTGAGAAATGCTGCCTAAAGGCCATCCAGTCCACCTGCCTTCACCAGGGCAAGAAAACATAATCAAAGCCCTCCTGACAAAGAGCCATCCAGACACAGATATAGATAGATAGATATGATTCAAACACACAGATATAGTATCATAGATTTGAAAGGGACTCCTAAAGAAGGGCAATGATATGTTGCATGTTCCAGGGTGGGCAAACCAGGCAATCTCCACATCAACACTGACAAAGAGACAACAAGAAATACTGTTTACCCACAAGCATCAAGAAATTACATATCTTAGAAACCAACACTTTCTCATTATTTTATTTTCCAGCTCACCAGACTGGGCCACAGCAACGCATAGCAGGGGACAGCTAGTATATATATGCGCCTTATTCTATCCAAAGCTCTCATATTACTTTGGATAGAATAAGGCAGGGTGAACACCCCTGAGGTGTTCGTTTTGTTGTCTCTGGCCATGTTCGGGGGATTTCAGTTCATTTTCTTTCCCTGTAATCATTGCATTTTGGAAAAATTGGCTTGTTGTGGAAACAAGTATTGGTGAGAAAGCTTCAGTGGAGACCCCTTTCCCCCATGATAATAACGCTTCCAAGAGTGCATTTCCCTTCCGATGAGTGGATTTCTTCCTGTTATCTCAGCCCTGTTCTTAAGTAGGAGTCCTTTGTAAGTCAGATGTTTGTAACTTGCGGACTGCCTGTATTAGGTATTTGATTTTTTTTTAGAAAATTAATGTTCAAAAATGGAGCATTATATAATAACTTAGTGTTGTTTGAAGGCTGGAAGGCTTTTTTCCCCTTTGGAGAGCAGCTGCTTTGTATAATATGTTTTGTAAGTAGACACACAAATATGCTCTTTCCAAATGATTGAGCTGTATGTAGACATATTTTAAATTGTGCTGCGACTCTGCTGGTACAGGTAATATCCACTAGATTATTGCAGCAGAATTTAGGAGGAAAAAAAACAAACAATGAATAATGAAAACTTCTCTGGACAGAAACACCAATAATGATGCCTTAGAAGATCCTTAATACACCTCAGATACTATTTGTCGAGTAAATCGCTTCCAGAAAAACTTTGGCAGGAGCTGAAGGAAAGCGATAAAAAGTGCACAAAAAGGTAATGGTTTATGGCAGGGAGGAGAATTGGCATTATATATTAATTTCAAGAATTCTGTTAAAAGAATTAACATAACATGTATTGATTTTTGGTTTTTCTTCTGCTTTTTTTTTTACAGTCCACACAAGAAAGAGGCAAAACTCACGTAGGTCCTTCTAACATTACATCTGAGGGCAGAGTGGCCAAGCTATATTAAGTTAAAAGTTGAATATTGCTGATTTTTCTAAAAAGGAATAACACCCTGCAGCAATGTTAAGAATTCATATGCATGCTTTTAAATCTACCTTGTAAAAAGGTAAAGGTTTCCCCTTGACATTAAGTCTAGTTGTGACTCTGGGTGGGTGGTGCTCATCTCAATTTCTAAGCCGAAGAGCCAACGTTGTCCATAGACACCTCCAAGGTCATGTGGCAGGCATGACTGCATGGAGAACCATTACGTTCCCGCTAAAGCGGTACCTATTGATCTACTCACGTTTGCATGTTTTCGAATTGCTAGTTTGGCAGAAGTTGGGGCTAACAGCAGGAGCTCACCCCACTCTCTGGATTCGCACCACTAACTTTCGATCAGCAAGTCCAGCAGTTCAGTGGTTTAACCCACTGTGCCACCAGGGCCCCTGAAATCTGCCTTGATTTTTTTTTTTAAAAAAAAAATGCAACAGAATTGGCTTTATTATTGTATGGCTTCAAATCATTTCTGATTTATGGCGACCCTAACGTGACCTTTTCTTTGCAATATTTTTTCAGAAGGGTTTCTTTTTTACATTTCTATTAGATTACGCTCTCCACCAAAGTCAGCCACTGGATCATTGAAGTGGACAACAGAAGAGAAAGAGCTTTTTGAACAAGGACTGGTAAGTACCATTTATGGGTTACTCACTGACTGGATTTAAAAGTAGTATTATATCTAACTCTTTCTATGGTATGTTTCGGGTCGAACCTATCTTTGAGACTAAATCTCCTTCTATGAACCAGTGTGGACCTTGAGAATTAACATTTGTTTTCCATCAGACTAAATTTGGCAGAAGATGGACGAAAATTTCCATGATGATTGGAAGTCGCAATGTTCTTCAAGTAAAGAGTTATGCCAGGCAGTACTTTAAGAACAAGGTAAGCTTTATAAAGATGACCAATGACAGGCTAGCGAACTAGCCATGTGGAATAAATCTGTGTTTAACTAGGGCTTGAGCTGGGCCAACATCTAAATGGTTATAAGCATGAAATAAAAGATTTAGTGATGTTTCCTGATTATTTTGGATGTCTTAAAGTAAAGAAATCCTATCTTTTGGTTAAACCCCTGTGCCGGCAGGACTGAAGACTGACAGGTCACAGGTTCGAATCTGGGGAGGCAGATGAGCTCCCTCTATCAGCTCCAGCTCCCTATGCAGGAACATGAGAGAAGCCTCCCACAAGGATGATAAAAACATCAAATCATACAGGCGTCCCCTGGGCAACATCCTTGCAGACGGCCAATTCTCTAACACCAGAAGCGACTTGCAGTTTCTCAAGTCGCTCCTGACACGACAAAAAAAAATCTTTTGGATGTGCCCCAAGCCTAAATCCACAGAACAGAATTTGCCTATGGGTGGAGACTCCATCCAACAATTGACTGAATGGATCTATTTTGGCTGAAATCAACCAATTCTTGTCTGGAATTCCTATTTTTTTAGTGTTGTTCTTTATTTACTGTTATGACTTTAGAGTTTTTTAATACTGGTCGCCAGATTGTGTTCATTTTCATGGTTTCCTCCTTTCAAGCAAAAGAAGCTTCTTCTTTCCTCTTGCGGAGCAAATTTCATGCACGAGGAAGGAGGAATTCCTCTATTTCCCTAAGGAGAATATTCTGCCAGTTTAGGGAGTTATATGGATGTCATACTTCATCTAATAATTAGTAGTATTGATATCAACCAGAAGCGACTTGCAGTTTCTCAAGTCACTCCTGACATGAGAAATAATAATAATAATAATAATAACAATAAAGGAGTCAACTGTCACTCTCGACTAATCTCTGTTCATTTGAATGTTATTTAATACTTAACTCTTCTCAATATCTCTAAGGCCAAGACTGATGGCCCAGAAAAAGTAGAGCAACGGGGACCGTATGTCAGCATTCCTGTACCGAGCAGCAACGAGGATGATGAAGGAAAGACGGTGGCGTGGGCAGCTACACTCTTAAGAGGCCGGGCAGATCCTAACTTGAATGCGGTGAAAATTGAAAAATTATCAGACGATGAAGAAGTTGATATTACAGATGAGATGGACGAGCTGCTTTCTCACATTCCTCAGCAAGAATCCGGGAAGTGTGAGTTGTTCGATACTCCAAAAAGTCCATCCACACAAAGCAACTGGACAGTGTCCGCTTTGGATTCTGAGGAACACACACCGACTGCCCTTCTCTTAACTGCGAAATGCAGTCCCAAGGCGGAGGAAAGCCCAGAGACTCCAGAGACTGTGGTGCTGTCTTCTGAGAACAATAGTCATGATCCATTGAAGCCTGAGAACGAGGGGGGTGACGAAGTAAGGACGCCTGATTGGTTTTCCTGCCCAGAGCTTTGTGGGGAGCAAAGAGACT